CAGAAGATCCAAATGCACTAAGGGCCAGGGGTAATGCCAAGGTAGTTAAAACATGACATGGTAGTTAAAACCTCTGGAGGGCTAAACCAGCTGACCTCATTAGGACACCCAGTTTGGGTTTCTTTTTTTTGCTAGTGGTGCTAAAGAAAGTTGAGCACATTTAAAAACTCTTAGAATAATTCTCTTCTATAGGTGACTGACATCTATAAAACAATCCAGGAATTTACTGACATTTAGACCACACAGCATTAACAACAGGCTGATGTGGTTTCTGCCCACTGTGCTATTTACTGTGGAGACACTGGCTTTTTGTTATGCTTCTGGAACAGTCAGCATGAATACAACCCCTATGGAGAACACATTACTGTCCCAGGATGAATGGTTGGGTTCAAATTGTCTTTGTCTGAAACTGGCCTTGATAGCCAGGAATTAGGGTCCTTGGCTACTCCTGTGGCAGAAACAGTCAAGCCCACATTGTGCTGATAAGCAGCACCAGTTGCTATGTCAGAAGGTTCTGATGCAGTGCTTTTTGCTAGATGGCCACATTGCACAGGAGGGCTGAGCTCAGCTCCTGTGCCTCAGCCCCTCCAAAGGCTGTTCCCGCTGCTGGGAACAAGGCTTTGTGCATTTATGGGAAAAGAGTGCCACAGGCAGCCGCTCCTGCAGGGTCCGAGACCTTCACACGACTGCCTGACAGGAGCTTCTGCTGAGGTGGGGATCAAATTCTTCCCACAAGCAACAAGTGTAGGATGAGAAGCAATGGCTTTGAGCTGTGCTAGAGGAGGTCTGGATTGGCTGTTAGGAAAAATTCCTTCATGGAAATGGTGGTTAAGCACTGGGATAGGCTGCTCAGGGAAGTAAGTGGTTGAGGCCCAGTCCCTGAAGGTATTTAAATGACATGCAGATGTGTCACTTAGAGACATGGTTTATTGGTGGACTTGGCAGTGCTGGGTTTATGGTTTGTGATCTTATGATCTTTTTCAACCTAAAAAAATTCTCTGATTCTATGCACATTTTCCCGGAGTGGGAGGAACATTAAGTTCACAGTGCAAATCTTTTAAAGGATCTTGCTGATGTTGAGGAGACGCTGCTTCATCATTTTGAACACCCTAGGCAGCATTTTAATTTTTCAATTCTGGCACCAAACAAGTCAAAAAAGCCAACACAGTATCTATAGCCCAAACCAGGACAGCCTGGCTGTCACTGTGATTAAATGCAGTGAAGGATCTGATCCTATTTTTGGAAATGACTTTTCAGTCTAAAACAAGAGATAGCCAAGACTTTGCTTTTGATACATTTTAAATAAGAAATCAATAATAATAAGTAGATTTTGTGATTTCTTTCTTCAAAATAACATTCGTAAAGAGAGTCTGGCCATAAATGCACAATTCATATTTGGGCCCACAGAAATTAAGCCAACTTGACAGGCAAATCACTACTAAAGGTGTCACTGGCAACCAGGACCTTCAGGGACTAAACTAAGCAAGATAAAAGCTCTCCTACAAAAGGTCTCCTACTAAAACTCTCTCTACAAAGGATCTCCTGCCAAGAGAGAAGTTTTGAAAGTTTAGCCTAATATTAAGAGGCAATATTCCATCCAGAGTTTTGTTAATGTCTTATCTGTAGAAGTATACACAAGCTAGGGAAAAAAAAATCCCAATCATATTTGTGGATTTATGAGATTTCTGCAGTTTGTCAGGAAACTCCTGGTACTGTTTTCCCCAGTGCAGTGCAGCATTGCTGGGAGGGTGGACAGTAGCATCTCTGCAAAAAGGGACATGTCACTGCATATGCAAACCAACTCCCTCTGTTGCAGTTCCACAGTCCATGCTCAGTTTCTCTTCTGTCTTTGCTCTGGTTTGGGTTGCTGCCATCATTCTAAATGTTATCCTTATGCTAAGCTATATATGTAAGTATAATTTCAACAACAATTTGTTACATTTATTTATGTAAATTATGGAAACAATAGTTTGACTGACATGTCAATAGTTTGACTATCACATCCCATATTTTGGGATTTGATGTTTACAAATTAAGGGCAGTCACTGAAAAAGAGAAGTGCTTAAATAAAAGCAAAGTCTGTTTAGACCTGGGTTTCTTGTACCATTAGCCATCCTAGAACAGTAAAAATTTATTCTGTCCCTTATTACTGCCTGTATTAAATGTATTACTAAAATATTTATTATATTTCAGTTACAGTATCACCATTAAGGTAGTCCATATAAAAGCATCACCTGCAAAAATTTAAAGAGTCTGTGTAAAAGGATTACCACCATTACCACAGCTTAATTTAAGTGTTAACTTGATGCCTAAGGTAGAAAATTAAATCTCTCTGCTCTATATTCATAAGAATAGAATTCTAGCCACTTCAATCTTGGTTTCTTCTCAACTTTTGCTATTAATTGGAACAAAATTAAAAACTGATGCTTTGAACAAGATTTCAAGGAAATATGTTTTTCAGTCTCCTATGGTTTGAGGATACTTTTGATAATGTTCCAACCACAATATTTTTTGCCGATGCATCTGCTCTCATAACTGCAAACTAAGAAAATGATTTCTTAATTTACACATCTTCATTTGCAAAATCATGTAATTTGCATGTGTCTCTACTGTCAAGTATTGTATATTCTTCTTCATTATACCCTCATATAATTTCTGTTTTGTCCTTCATCATATACACTAGTGTCTCACAAGCTGCATATTTAATTCTCTTCATGTAATTGGTTTCTCATTCACAGTAAATATGGACTTTCTTGTCCACTCAGAATCAATTCTCACCTGACTGATAGGATATTAACCAAAGTTAAATATTTGTTTTACCATTCTAAGAGACATATGTGAACTGATTTCTTACTATAATTGTTTAACTTGACATAGTTATTTTAAATGACACTTAGGGGATTCTCCTTTCCAGGATTTTCAGTATAAACATTAATGATTGTTTACCAGTCTTAGGTAGAGGTCAAGCAGAGAACAAGAAGTTTTATTTCTTTCTAAGGTTCCCTGTGAAAGAAGGGGCATAAAGGAGGCTAAACCACAAAATTTTAAAATGGTGTGTTATTGGTATGACAGAGGAAAGGGTTGTAAGTCTATGAGCAGAAGTGCCCACCAAAATCATTTGTCCTTGAGCACATGGTACATGTACACAGGCGGATGTTTCCATACACATACATGCTGATGCCCAAACCTCCCTCACACAGCCTGCTACAATACAGCTTCTGCATCACAAACAAATGGGAAGCACACTGTGACTGCCAGGCTGGTGCATGTATTTCTGGCATATCGGCCTTCTGTGGTTTGCTTCATTTTGGTACCGTTTTTGAGGGTGGACATGGGGCAACTCACACAGACATAACAGTGTGCAGTGGCACATTTTACACAGTAAAGCCAAATGGTTCATCCCATTGTTACATAGAAAGGAAAGATGTTGTGCATTGCTGGAATGCAGCCAGCTCTCAAGTCAAGATTAGCATCCTGGAAACAGCAAACATTGGCAGCTGCATGCTTCTGAACCCAGTAGCTCTGTGCAAAGCTGGCAGTATGGTCTCAGGCTCTGCTGGCATCACTGAACAGGGCAGGCTGGGGCCCAGGACAGGACATGAGTGCAATGTGTGCATCCCCTCCCTGTTCCTGAAGGGGATCATCCACCAGGTCTGTGATGAGGATCAATGCCTCTGATTCTGCCCTGATTCTTCTTGTGCAGGAGGGATGCAGACTTGGTTTGTACATAGGTATCCGTCTGTTTCCCAAGCCTGGGAGGCCACAGGCTAACCAAATGGTGGAAATGGCAGAAGTCAAAAGCTCTGTTTTATGAGGTGTTGGGGATTAACATCCCCAGTATGATCTTCAGAGAGATGGAGAGCCATAAGAACTACCTAGTAGGCTGTCTGTTGTAAAAGTGAATCCTAACTTTAGGAAATTGCATAAAGCAAAGATTTTAAGTAGTGGTTTTATTCAGAGCAAGAAAAAATATCTGCAGAGAGTGATCCTTGTCAAATTAAATGAGCCTTAGAAGAAGCCTATGTATTACACTCTCTCCTGTGTAAAATAGTCAGCCTATCTTATCAAATGCACTAAAATGTTCAGTTTTGTCAACTCAAAACTGGTGGCAGGGGTTCTGAAAATTTTATGTTCAGACTTACTGACTTTATTGGCTGAACACTGATTGTACAAGTGCAGGTTTGTCAAGACCACCAAACTGTGTGGTGCAGTTGTCACACTGGAGGTAAGGAATGCCATCCAGAGGGACCTTTACAGTCTTGGGAGGTGGATCTGCAGGAAGTTCATGAGGTTCCACAAGGCCAAGTGCAAGGTCCTACACCTGGGCTGGGGCAATCTCAAGCACAAACACAGGCTGGGGGAATCCAGACCAAGAGCAGCCCTGAAGAGAGAGAGCTGGGACTCATGGTTGATGAGAAGTTCAACATCTTGGAATTGTGAGCTTGCAGCCCAGAAAGACAAACATCTCCTGGGCTGCATGAAAAGCAGTGTGTGACCAGCAGGTTGAAGAATGCAGCTCTGCCCCTCTTCTCCTCTCTCATGACACCCTACCAGCATCCAGAACTGGGGTCTCCAACACATTAAAGACATGGTGTTGAGGCTCTGGAACTGATTGACCAGAGAAATTGTGTATGTCTCATCCCTGGAAGTGTTCAAGGACAGGCTGGATGTGGTTTTGGGCAGCCTGGTCTAGTGAATGGTGATCCTGTCCATGGCAGGAGGGTTGGAACTAGGTGATCTTTAAGGGCCTCTGAAACCAAGCCATTCACTGATTTCACGATTCCCCAAACTTACATAAAGGTTATATAATTCATGAAGTTGGTGAACAATCAGGCAGGACATCAATGGCATATCAACAAAGACAAAAACTCTCCTGCATTCTGGATAAAGACAACTATGTTTTAAGATAAGAATCCTTGCTATGACAAAAGGACACCAAAACCCCCTAGTAATAGCTGTGATGAAAAAAATAAAGGACAAAAAAAGCTAAGAAAACCACCTTGATTTGGACTGCTTTGAAAGTAGTCCGCTTATCTTTTAATCAGCAAAGGCTGGGTCTGAAGTCAGGGTTGGATGTACAGGGCCCTTTTCTGACCCCCAGGCATTTCTTCTCCACAGGAACCTAAGGAAAAGCAGGGAAAACATGTGAGACTGATGGTCATAGGAAGCTCCCATCAAAACCTTTGGGGCTGATCCAGCCTGGGCCAGCAAACATCAGGGAGAAGGAGGAGAAGCTGCTTGTTAAAAACCAGAACAACTCATATGAAAGCCTACACAAGAGAAAATTTACATGAGGTTTCTCAGAACCAGCGTACACATTATCTTTCACTCAAAAACTCTGAATGCAATGAAAATTATCCTGTTTTCTTGACTCATCTGCACTTTCCTCTGTAGCACAGTGAAGCTTTCAGTGAGAAAAAGCAAAACCCAATTTATAAAATGACAACCATTTAAAAGCACTGTTGCTTTTAGAATAGGCTTTCACCTCCTAAGCTTTATGCCTTATAAAGCCTAATGTTTCTACTGAAAGAGTCATTGAACCCATACAAATGCATCACATGGTAATAATTGTTATAAATCTCAGGTCAAAAACTGAAGGAACTAAGTAGACAGGCAGCATCTTTCTAAACTATTTTTGAGCATAATTTAGATACTGTAAGTAGTCTATTTTCAAAAATGCATTTTACTGTAAAACCCACCAGTATATAATTCTATTACTCAAACAGCAGAACAAAAGTTATAAATATTCATCAACATGGCAAAAAGACAAAATTTGCAACCGATTTTATCCTATGTAACTGTTCCACTAATTTATAGAATTAGGCTCTTACGTTTTCAAAACAGATTTCAGAAACACCACAAGAGAACTTGTGCATTCATGCATGTAAGAAAGAGAAAGGCAAATCATCTTTATGTATGTGACAGCACTGTTTTCTGGATGGCTGGTGCCTGTTGTGCTTAGAAATGGTCGCCTATGCCAATTCAGAACTACTCTGGAGCCCTGCATGCATGCATAGTTCCATTAATATGTCTAGATTGCTCTAAATTTTGGTTACAGTCCACTGATAATACTAAATTGCTCTTTTGCAAAATAGCAAGATATTATTTGAATGAGCAGCAGCATAGACAACTCTGACTCAGAGCCTCATTGGAAAATATCTAGTTATTTATGTCTACTTTTCTTCAAATCTGATTGAAGTGGATAGCAAAACCCCTTGACCTTGATTACATTGGAAACACAAACGGAGAAGTTTCAGCCTGTGTCTCCGGTCTGGTCAGCATGAAGGGGATGGGGTGACTAGCAGCTAGTTATCATCACAGGAGCCACAGTGTCAATCTCTATCTCCACAAGTGCTCTGTGTTTGCCACCAGCTAGCATGTGGCTTTGCAAAACTTTGGATGGGTTTTTTCTCCCCACAAAATATTGTCCAAATCCCACAGGCACTTAAAAGAAGACACAGACAAAAGGGAGTTGTCTGATTCACATGGTAGGAAAATCCATATAATGTAAATTTGAAAACTAGATACTCTGCTATGAAAGACTATAATTTAAAACATTATTAAATTCATTGATGTGACTTTTTCAGTAGAAAATTGCAGTCTGGTTTATATCAGATTAGAAATTTAATACATCTGCTGTTAAGTATCTAGAAAGCATTGCGTAACTTTCATCCATGAAGAGCAGAGCTGGAGTAAAAGCACTAGAAGATGAAGGGAAACCTGCGACAGGGGTGTTGCATGGCAACTGAAAGCTTGGCTCTGCTAGTCTGTGGCCGTTCTTTGTACTTTAAACTCTATGGTAGGGAAATTAGTCATTAAAGTGAATCTCAGATGGATGACTCTTAATTTCTGAAATCCAGCTGAAGCTCTGCTGTACACAAAAGCTTGCTTATGAAAACATCTCGTTTTGAACACAAGTGTGCTTTGTGAGAAGCTGGAGATTAAAAAAATAAAAAAGAAAAAAAGAAAAAGCCTGGTGCACCTTAATCAGAGACAGCACATTGCTCTTTTTCCCTAACCTCAAATGATTGAACATGCATTCTGGTTTAGACCTCACACAACATTCAATCTGTCCTTAATTTTAGAGAAACAATACTTTCTCTGTTTGGAAAACAGCATATACAAAATAAAACTGCTTGGCCCTGAAATTATATTTTCTTCCCACCCCCTACCCTCCCCACTTGTTTCAGTAATCAGCAAATCCCATAGAAGACAAAGGATTACTTACACATGTATTTATTCGGTTTTTCCATAAAAGTTGCACAGACTGAGCAAGGGTTGCTTGTAAACATCTTGTCCAGTGGGTGATTTGTTTTTCACAAAAGGCATAGAGAAGCAAGAGAGAAAGGTCTTTAAAATGAGTGGCTGCTTACTTCTTTTTCTACTAACAACCAAAATCTGGGATTCACTTTTATTTTCTATGTCCTGTCCTAAAACAATGGATGCATGAGGGCTGGGACCTAGTTGGCTGGGAAGGTCCTCCTGGGCCAAGTCTGGGGTGGATATGCTTCTCCAGCACAGGGGGAATTTTGACAAATCCCCACTTGAAGGAAATCATGTGGAGGTGGCTGGACCTTAGTTCCTTCTCCAGGATCTGAAAATGTTCCTCATATAACTACTAAAAGGAAGACTGAGGCTTAGTCATTACTGTGTGCAGAAGACAAGATCAGTTGTGTTCTATCTCAGGCTTTGATCATTGGTTTCATGGTGTTTGATTTTTATACTGAACTTCCTGAGTCTTGCAATTTGTGAAAATTATATTTTTGTTAATATTTTGGACACAACACATATCCACAGGCAAACCTGTGTACCCAGAGAACAGAGGAGGTGGTGGTGAACAGCAAGTGTCACAGACACTGCAACAGATGCTGTTGTAGATATGTGGTCTTCTATGTTTTATTTCCAAAAGATTTATTTTACTGAATTTCCAAAATTGAAGTTGCTAAAGATAAAGTAGCATGCTCAGAGAAAGCCTGAGGGAGATGGTGTGGAGTGTTTTACTGAGGGTAGGCAGGGATGTGATGGCAGAGAACTCAGAAGAGCCTGGGAGGTTAAGATGTGAATACAGGTGAAACAGATGAAGAAAGACATGTAAAAGGTTTAAATTTGATTTGCTGATTAAGCCATTTGTAAGTTGAAATGCTTATAAATTTTCACACTATATCATCTTAAACTTCAAATGTGTTAGACCTGTGGCTGCCTTTTCAGTTTATTTCCTAACACCTCCTAAAATTTCACATTTCTCAGAAAAATTACTCTTCTCTCAGAAATCTCCCATTTGAAATGTTTACTTGTGCTGTGGAAAGAGAAACAGCATGGGACCCTGTCAGGGTTTCACTGACATTCTTTCTGTTAGAAAGCCATGCATTTGTGCAAAATGCTGCAAGGCAAGAGATGGCAAAAAAGGGTGAGTTAGAAGTGTGATGCATATCCTTCACTTCAGAAAGCTGAGGAATTAAGGCCAGCACTGCTGGGGCTACTATAGCATTTGTGGCTGGGGCTGTGGGGCTTGAGCACTGAAATCACCGAGATATCTTTGAAACTCCTTCCTTAGGATGCTCAGATACAAGTGTAGGACAGCAGCTTGGTTTGGATCTTGGCTGCCTTTTTGAAATAAAACGATCTGCATTCATTAGGTATGTTGAAATCAGTATAAGCAGGTTTTATTTCCTGGCACTTTACAACGAAGCTGTATTCTTGACGAGTTTCTGCCACTACAAGTTGTTCCAAAATAAAACAGTCTCTGTTTTATAAATAAATTCCCATGTTTAATTCCAAATGCAGTTTCACTAAACTCAGAGGCCATGTTTTCCAGGTAAAGGGATGCATATTTTACAAAATTTGCTATATTGTCTGTAGCTATTTTCTCATATTAAGACAAAAACCCTAATTTAACAATAGTGCTGGTTTAAATTATTTTAGATTAAATTTTCAATTAAAAAAAATCTCTATTACAAATTTGAAACAGCTTAAGTTTGATATTAATCACAAATCTGATTTTAAAAAAATGGTTCCAGTTGGTCATTTGTCAAACCCTGAGTGGAAATCACATCTTTCATGTGATTTTTATTTTGGGCAACTTCTCATGGATTTAAAAGGCATGGATCACCCTGAGCAGAACTTCCTACAGATTTGTGTCTCATTTTGTTTAAGCTATCCCTCTGCAATATTCCAGCTGTGCCTCATGACTCCTACGGTGCTTCTGCTTAGTAAGCACAAGCAAACACTGCCACCAGCCAGGAGTGGTGTTCCTGCAGTGTGCCAGCTGCTGCCAGGTGATAAATAATGTGTGAATTTGGTCTGCTTTTCTGTCAGTGCTTAGGTTCCTTTGTTGCCTGGCCATGGGAACCTGTAGGAACACAGTTGTCCTCAGCTGCTGCACATTCAGTTGAAAAGCCAAATTGGTTCAAGAAGTGTTAGGGGAAACAGGCAGACATATAATGTGACTGTCTAAAACTCACTTTCTCAAAAAAGGAAGCTGACAAGGAATATTAACTGTAGTAGACAAGAGGATGGAAAAGGGTCACATGTTATAGCTTGTGCTGTCATTTAATTTACCTAGAAAGAGGAGGGAAAGTATGGGGTGATAGGTGGAAAAACAAGTAAAATTGAAGGACTGAAGATGTGGTGGAAGGGTTTAGGAGCAGCTGAAAGGATTCAGTGTTGGTGGTAACAAATTGTAAAAGGGAAAGGAAAAAGTCCTGCACCTTGAGAGGAGTATGCTGGAGAGGCTTGATCAATCCTCCTTTCCCTCTGGGTCTTCCTCTTGTTGAAATTCAAATAAATCTGCAAGGTCTCCATGAACACAGAGACAAGTTGTGGATGTGATATAGGCAGGGAAACAGGGTGGCTGTCCTGTGGGCAAGGCTGCTTTGATGGATGAGTTATGAGCTCCCCAGTCATAACATTTGGTTTACCCATTCGCTTCTCTCCCTCCAAAATAAAAAACCCACTCTTGTTTACTCTTTCCCCACCACCCCTGGGTTTGGTGATTTTAGTGATTCTGGTCTTTATCAGTAACCTTGGTAAGTCTGGGAATCTTCTCTATTCCCACCATCCTCCGACATTGATCCATCCAAGAAGAGTTCCCAATGCATCCCTTTCCCCATATGTGATATCTGTCAGTACCTTGGGTTGTTTCATTAGTTCAGCCCCAGGTTGGAATTGTCCAGTCAGTTTTTTTCCTTCCAATGCTCTCAGCAGCTGGCAGTTTCTCATATTGCTGTCATATTGTCCTAGTGCTGGAGCCTGTGGCATACAGGAGTGGGATCTAAATGCTGCAATCTACCGCTGGAAGGGGAAATATGGAGAAATTGGAACCCACCTTCTATGAGAGATGCACAGCAAAACATGGTCAGGAAACAGTAATGAGCTGTACCAGAAGAAATGCTGGCTGGTGACAGAGGAAAAAATCTTCCAAAATGGATAGTTGAGCATGGAAACAGGCTGCACAGAGCAGTGGCAGATCCTCTTCCACGGAGGTGTTAAATACTTGAAAAAGATAAGGTCCTAGGGAACCTGATTTAATTTTTAAGTGAATTTTGCTCCCCTTTCCAGCTGGTCAGCTGGCCAGGCTAGTCAGGAGGTCAAAGTTGCAAATCCTCCCTGAGACCTTCAATAAGCATATTTGCCTGTCTTCTGTGATTGAGATTTGAAAAGCAATTTTACCTCGGGCAGTATGATAGCAGTCAGTTGTCATGTAGTCAAGTGTGCTGTCTAAAAGAGGCATCCATGTAAACAAATAAATACTGGCTTTTTACAGACTCTTTATCATGACTTTTCATAGCTTCAGTTCTCTATCAGAACACCAAAACCCCATCACTGTCTGTGTACAAGGCAGTACATATGTAGAATTAATATCAAATCTCCCAATGTCCAAAGCATCAAACAGAACCTATAATCTGAACCCCAAGAGCCTCCAGAATTTGTCACAAATGCCAAGAAGATCAGGCAGGTGAAGGCTTGGGATTCAGCTGAGCAGTGAACTGGGTGAGAAACAGGCTCAGCAGTGAATGAGAGAGTTGTTTAGGGAATGAATCACTTAGGGAGAAAGTTGTGCAATTAAATTGATGAAGTTGGCAGCAAAACAAAAAGCAGAAAGAGAGAATGAATGCAACAATCAATCAATAAAGCAGTGAATCAATTGTCTAGTTAATAAGATGGTTAATTATGCAGAACAGAGCAGGAAAGGCAGTGTACTTGGTCAGTTTGGCTCCAACAAATCTCCCCAGTATGCTTCAGTTACAGCATCATTTACTTTTGCTGATTTTTGTTAATATAGGCAAGGTTTCACCTCTGAATTAGTATTGTCATATTTTAAAGATAGCATCTGTTTCTAGGCTGTTATGATTTATTTCTTTATATTGTTTCAAGAAGGCAAGAATTAGGTCATGATCTGCGATAACTAGTGCTCTATTCTGTAAAAGCAATACTTGCCCATCAGCATAGTGTCATTTCTATTATTTCAGTATTTTATGCTATTTTTTATTATTTAATTTCTATTTTATGTTACTGTGCTATTTATTGATCTTTCTACTGTCAACACAAATATTCTAAGCACTTTCTAAACTAGAATTTGCAAACCTTTCCTCAAAATAGTTTCTATTCTGAAAGTATCCCCTTTTAGAACATTTTGTTATGTTGTTGAAAGAGCCCTCTCCATTTTCTCCCCATTGTACAACACAGAGACTTGGATAAAGAACTGACAATTCAGTGTCCTTGCATCCTAAAGTGATACAAGACAGGGTAATGTATGAGGCAAAGAGCTATATGAAATACTCACCTTGTTGAAGAAGATAGAGGAAGGATTTTCAGACGTTGTCTGAGGTTTGGACGACCCCATGTGGGTAAGATCTTCCTCTAGGATCTGTCTACAATATTTGTCAGGTCTTTTGTGGTACTGTTGTGATCAGCTTTCACATAGTATCTCTGCAAGGCTGGGCAGTTCTGGACACAGTCCAATAACCATCTCCATGCCTTGGATGTGAATGTGCATTCACTATTGGAGCTGGACATCAGTAAGCCTAGAAGATGCCTAAACCCCATGGGAACTGGGGTTTTTTTTCTTCTGAACTTCCCAAGGCCTCCTAAGCTTGCCTCTGTGTCTGTATCTGCCCACTATTAGAAAGAGCTCATCTACTTGATACCTGTCTCACTCGTGAACCTGAAAGTGTAATTCAGCTTTCCCTGTCATCCATAGATGTCTCCTGGTCCCAGCCCAGTTGCTCACACTGGAATCCAGCTCTGCAGAAACTGCAGTTCAGGTGGCTGGTCTCCGTTCAGATCAGGAGCCGTAGTGTGATGCCCA